GCAGCACGGTGTGCTGTGGGGACCGGGTCCCCGTGCCGCAGAGACTTGGGGAAATGCCACCTGCCAGCCATGGCATTGAGAGGGGGACATCTGTGGGGGCCTGGGGGGCTCTCTGCCTGTTCTCCCTGCCCCCGACACCACCGCAAGGCCTCAGCCTGTGTGGCCAGGCCATGAGTGCCTGGCGCAGCAGGGAGTCTAATGGCCTTTGGGGCTTCCCCCCCCCCCCCCCCCCCACACCCCGTTCAGTGGACACCTCCCTGTGTGGTTTCCTTTGGACTGTCTGCATTCTCAAGTCCCGGGTCTCCTCCCCCAGCAGGAACAAGCTCCAGGCACAGTCCTCGACCCCTCCGGGTGCCCCCCACCAAGCTGGCCAGATGGGTGGACCGCTGTGGCCAGCAGCTCCCGGGGGGCTGGGTCCAGCGGTGAGTGCCTTTTCTCCTGGGGGGGGGGTCTCCAGCAGGGGATGGCCACGTGGAGGGGCGGGGGCTTGAGTGAGGGGTCTTGGGTGAGAAGCCCCAGAACTGGAGGGATTGGAGGGGCCCTGGCCGACCCCCCTAGGATTCAGGCAGCCCCAGGGGGCGGGGGGCACAAACCCAGGAGGCTGCTGGCAGCGGTCATGGCCATGTCTTAGGTCCGGGGTTTCCCACCAGCCACAGGGTCCACTTTGGGGTGGACCTCCTTTCCAGTCACGGCTTGGGGCCTCTGAGCAGCCAGCCTCGAAGGTGCCGAGCGGAGGTGGGCTCCTTGTGACTGGCCCTCGTTGCCTTCCCTGTAGCTGCTACGAGGTGAGCCTGCGGGGCTGCCTCCTGCAAGACCTCTTCGTTAGCTTCGCGCGGGCTCCTGGCAGCCCAGAGGAGGCGAGCTTTGTCTGCCGTCTCGGGGAGATCCAGGTGAGGCATCTGGGCACGGGGGGGGGGGGGGGCAGAGTGTTCCCTCTGCTCAGAGGGCCAGTGGGGTGGGGGTGCTGGGGAGCGGGACTGTGCGGGGGCAGGCACCCCGGGCCTCCTGTGGGCTCTGGGACCGTGGCGAGCCTTCTTTCTTCTGCCAGGTGGTGGACGCCAATAGCCTGCTCGCCCCTCTGCCCCGGGTGCAGGCCGTCACTGTGTCCCGCGTGCGCTGGCAGCGGGCCACGTCCGAGGAGGAGGGCCCCCCTGCCCCGCTGCGGCTCAGCTGCACTCTGCACTGGTCCCACCTCCTCTCTCCCGTCCGATGCTTCCGGATCCGCTGCCGCATGGGGACTGGTGGTGGCGTTCCTGGCGGGGGGCCGCCGGGGCCAGAGAAGCCCACGCTCCTGGGCCTGGCCTTTGTCAACCAGTATCGGATAGCGGAGCTGCAGGTGGCGGCCATGGGGCCCAGCGGGGACGGGCATGTGGAGTTCCTGGTGGAGCCCGTCCCCAAGGAGGGGTTTCTGGTGCCGCAGGCCGAGTGGGGCAGGGCGGCCCTGGTCTACTCCATGCCCCGCACCTGAGCCAGCATTAAAGCATGGCATCTCCCCGCCTCGAGGCTCAGGCTGCTTCTGCGCCGGGGCCCCACGCGGTGTGCGGAAGCCCATGGGCGCCAGGAGCCCACGGGCTGGGGCTGTTGTGTGGTGGAGGCCGGTAACAGGAAAACCAAGAAGTCCCTTTGCTGGGTTGATAATTTTCTGAGGTTAATGAACTCTGTTCTGCCTAATCCCTGTCCGGAGTATAGATTCTCAGGTAAGAGTGACAGGATTTGGGAAAGCTAGTCCCATAAACTCCACGAAGGGTGTTTCCTAATAGGCCCCTAATAGGCCGAGAGAAGCTGATGCTCAACAGGCTTAAAGGGGACAGGAAGCCTCCGAGCAGGCCCAGGGGGCGATTCCCAGGCTGAGGGCAGAGGGTGGTGGGGGGCTGCAGGGGGCTGGGAGCCAGGGTGCACCTCCCCCCAGGCCAGGCGGGCCGCCCTAGTACAGCCCTTCCCGTTCGTGGCTCTGTTCCAGTCTTCTGTCCCGCAAGCAGGGCCCGTCTGTGGAGCCTTCCCGTCGGCCCCGTGCCCTGCTGGGTCTCTTCTGGGCTGTCGGTACTGGAGAGGCTTGCGTGGAGCCAGACTGTGAGCCTCTGCCTCTGCCTGCTGAGCGGGGCTACCCGGGCTTGCGGGGCAGGAAGCCGGCCAGGGCCCCGGGAGGCCCCCGGCTGCAGCCTGGCCCAGCCCTGCCGCGGGAGCCCTGGCCGGCGTTCCTTCGCGGCCTCCCGCCTCAGCCTCTCCCGGGGCGGGGGTGCTCTGAGGACCCTCCCCATTGGGCCTCCTTCCTCTCTGTTGTCTAGCACCTTCCTTCCCTCTGCCTGTGCCGAGGCTGGCCGGAGGCTCTGCGCAGGGAGGAGGGGAGGGGGTGAGTGAACCGGAGACGGCTCCTCCCGCCACACAGCTCCCCTGTTGACCCCTGGGCCACCGTGCTGGCCTCCTGGGGGTGGGCTCTCTGCACCCCGCAGCCTTGGGTGTCTGCCGTGTTGCCCAGCTCCTTTCCTGGGCCTGAGCCGTGTCCCTCGTTCTGGGGGGTCTCTTACCCCCGGGTCTCGTAGGGCCATCGATGGGGGCCACTTGCCCATTTCTCTGCCCTCCACCTGTGCTAGGTGATGTGGAGTGGTGCCAAGGGCCAAGACACTCCCAGCTGGGGGTCCCACCTATGGCCTCGGGTGCAAGCCCCGGCCACGGACTTGGTGGTACGCTGTAGGGAGGGGAGAGGCCACCAGGTGGCAGTGCAGCCACACCACCTCTGGCTGGCTGTCCAGAATTCGGGAATCAGAGCGCAGTCAGGTGGCCTGGGAAAACCCGGCCCGCAGGACAGCAAGGGGCGTGTCCCTCCAGGGCTGCCTCCATCTCCCTCCCCCTGGCCCGAGTGGCTCTTTCCCAGGGGGACAGAGGGACATTTTACTCTCCGTGTCCGGCACGTGGCCTAGCCAGCTGGCTCCCCAGTGGGGGATGCTTCTGCCCAGCAGAGGGGGGTAGCTTAAGCAGGAGAGGAGGACGCCTCTGCTGCCTAGCTGGGAAGCGCAGCACCCGGCACCCCCGACGGTCCCCGTGAACCCGGACGGCTCAGTAGGCTGGGGTGGGGGGGGCACCGGAGTCGCTGCCGCTTGGAGCTGTTCCATCATCGTGTTCTCGGTTTGGACCGTTGGTTTGCTTTGAGCCTCCTCTGTTTTGTACCCGGGGATCTGGCCTTGCTCCCTGTGCCCCCAGAGGCGGGAGTCGGGCGGGGCAGGGTGCCCTGGAGTGGGCTGCTCTCCAGTCTCGAAGCCTGTTGGCTTTAAGTGTCTGTGCCCCCAGTTTATGTCGAGAAGGAGGGAAACATTTGTAAGTGGCAATTACTTTCTTACAGTCTGGTGAACAGGCGATGAGAGGTGAGGGGCTCAGCAGAGCATGGCATGCGGCGGGGCCACCCACCCCCAGCTCCCCGAGAGCACCGTCCCCGTCCCACGGAGAGTAGAGGCTCGTGGGCAGGAAAATGAGTATGTTGGCATTTAAGCTTGCGCCCCTCTGGTGGGTGTAATCGCTCTGAAATAAATGAGGTGACGTGAAACATGAAGAGCTTGAGTTGGTGAGCGGCGTTGTGGACGGGCTGTGAACGTGGTCCCGGCCCAGCCCCTCAAGCCCAGGGCTTTGAGTCTCTTGGCTTGACTTTGGCTTTCCTTCCCAGTTCCGCTCCCTCCTCCGAGGGGCTGGTGGCGGGGCAGCTGCCCGCCACCGCAGCCTTGCAGGGATGGGGACCCGCGCCCGTGGGCTTACCTTGAAGCAGCCCCCCCACTCCCGCAAGGAACCAGGGCTCCGCCCGACCCACATCACAGGGTCAGTGCCCGGGCGTGGCTGGGATCTGAGGGCCCTCTCTGGGACGTCCCCAGCCCTGTCCCCTCTCCTGCCTGCACCCGGCAGGCCATAGCTGCTGGGCAGCACAACGACGTGAGGCCTGGCGGGCATCTGTGTGCAGTAGCCGCTGCTCAGCTGGGAAGGGGCCAGGGCGGTTGTCCACCCTGGAAGCCGCTGTGAGCTTCACAAGCCTTAGTGCCGCGCGGGGCAGGGCGAGAGGTGGCTTGTTTGGCTTGTTTTCGGTCGGGGTGGGGAAAGGAGTCTGGAGGATTGGGGCTGGCATCTCTTGCCCAGAAGGGTCTTCAGACTCCCCAGTGGGCACCCCGCAGAAGGCCGGCTGGATCCTGGGACAGGCTGTGGGTCCTGGGCCCACCCTGGCAGGTGCCCGGTGCTGCACCCCGCCCTCCACCCTCAGGGCCCCAGGGGCTGCCAGATCAAAAAGAGTTGTCCTGGTTTGAAGAAAGAAATCTTTATTAATAATCTTAATAATACTGTTGATTTGAATGGTCACACCTTGGAAGCATACAGAATGGTAAGAAAGGAAGCCTGGGGCCTGGCTGCAGTCCTGGGGGGGGGGGGGGCGGGGGGGGGGGGGCGGGGGGCGGAGCTGCCGCAAGAAAAGGGTCCGGAGCAGCAGGGGGCTCTGGACAGGAGGGGCCGGGCGGGCAGGGCGCTGTACAACAGGAATAGAAAAGGGGCTCGTTTCAGGAGCTTCAGGAGCTGATGCTGAATATATAAAGTGAGGTGTGGTTTTTTTTTTGTTTGTTTTTTTTTTTTT